TGAGGTCCTTAGATTAGTTTACTTCCGATCATGGCCACCTAGATGTAATTTCAGAAGTGACTCCGAAAAAATTAGGTAGGCATAAAAACTCTCAAAAATGTCACATTCTGATCTAGAATTGTCTCAGAAATCCAAAAATGTTACAATATACAGGGTGTTCCATTTAAAAATTTAGAACCGGAGCCATTTCTGGTGAAACCGGAAGAGACCGGGAACTGAAAAATATGTGAAAACTCTCCTCTTTACATACCATTTACCTATACCAAATCTCATTTTGATACACCTGATGGTCTAGAAGTTATGACTTGTCTAATAGATTCGTTGACACCCGGTATATATAAATATAAGAACAATTAACAATATACTAAAATTATCCGAAGTGTTGAGACCAGACCAAGGTAACAGATTATAATCTTAGAGATCATGAGTATACACATTTTTACATGTTTTAGTTCAAATTACTCTGATTTATAACACAGACTAGTTCATATTTTAAATCTTATTGGAAAAAAGTAGGATATTGTAACAATCAAACCAAGATTAGCACTCTTAAATCAGTTATCACCCTCACCTATCACCCAACACTGACTTTTTCCTACTTTAAAAATAATCTGGGCACGCCCATGGTATTTCCACCAGGGCAGTTTTACCGTTTCTCCAACCGTTTCAATAGGGGTTCATTCTGCAAGTACGAAAACAGGTAAATCCCAAAACAGGCATCATCCCTCTCTCTTTCTAACCAACGAATAGATTCTATGCTGAAAAAGGACGGAAGCTAATAAGAGGGGTGCAAAATGGATTTCTAATTGGAACGATACCCTCATGTTAATGTGATTCCAACAAGAACACGGTTATATTATTCAGTTTATTTCGAAATTTTGTGATGTGACAACGTGCTTTCATTTCAGTGATTATTTTCAATATAAGTCTTTCATGTTAAGGTCAGTAACTATATATGTAATTATTCCGGTAGGGTTCATTCAATTATTATAGTTTCTTTTTGAGATATTTATATTTCCTGTGGTGTGCTGTGTGCTCAGGCAGGGGCGGCGAGTGCATGGGGGCATCGGGGCCAATGCACCCATGTAGACCATAGGTATGGGTGCAATGCACCCATTGGCCGAAACGAAGATGTACCTTTGTTTATGTTGATATTAACAACAGACCCGAAACCCGATTAGTCAAAAAACATTATATTCTAGTAGGGGTGTTTCACACGTAATGCAGAATCAATATTGCATCAAGCTATCTTCAAATTTGAAGGCATTTGACCTTGATCAATAAAAAATTTTCGCCTGCGGCGCATTTTTTGTTGGCTTCTCCTAACCCCTCCATTTTGGCACCCATTGGGCAAAACAAAACTCGCCGCCCCTGTGCTCAGGGGCGGATTATAGTACAAACCCGAAAAGCCAGGGCTTGTAGCGCTAAATCCCAGAGGGCGCAAAATATTCCAAATACTTGAAAAAAAATTGGATCAGAAATTAAAATATATATTTCGTCATGTGGGTACTTTATACTATGATACTTATCTTATATACAACATATTTTTGAAATCGCACTGATTGCGAACAATTATCCGAAGTAGCAACTCTATAACAGCCCCCGTAACTAGTTCTCCTCCTAAAAGTCATTACGCATAGATGGCAACATTTGGCAACGCTACGCTGTATCCTTCTTCTTCTTCTTCTGTTGTGATTCTTGGTTTTCTGACTCCGTAGGGTGCCAATTTCACCAGATCAGGTATGGTTTGTATTTGTGGTATAAGGTAGGGTGAAAAGGTAATGTTAGATCCCGTTAATTAGTAGGGTGGTTTTGTTATTACATTCAAGGGTTTCCCAAAAGACATCACACATCTGTATCAGCGTCATGTTTAGTTCGAGACATATATTCGGGGAATATTAGGACACAGAAATATTGCAGTTTTGCACTTCGCGCTGTTATACATTTGCAGATATCATTGTGTTAGATTTGCTATGATAATATTTTGTTTTTTTCGTATTTTCGTCATGAGCGGCTTAAATACAAAATTAAGTGCCGCAGTAGAAAGATCTTTATGGACACTCAGGAGAATTAAACATTATTTGAGGTCGAAGTTATTGGATTCCAAACTGAGCGACTTGGCCTTAATGGCAATAGAATCAGACCTGCTCAAAAATCCAGAAGTAACAGTTAGTAGGAAGTCTTAAGGTTTTTGGAAAATAGTTTGTCAATGTTGTTCAACTATTTTTCAGTGTGTTATGTAATTTTGAATAAAATATGTATAACACTGTCGCCAGTTTTGTGTGTCTCAAATATAAACTGAACGGCTTTGGGCGCCTTCGAATGATAATTAGGTTAGGGACATGTAAGCCGTTTTGATCGATAATGGATAATTTCGACACAAAAAAATCCTAAAATTGAAAAATCTCGATTTTGAACACCCTCAATCTCTGTAATCATTCCTGTTATACTCCAAGTGTGATACATTGGTGAAATCAGCTCTTCAGGAAGAATCTTGAAATGCAATAAAATACAGGGTGTCCTATTTGAAATAACAAAGTTGCTAGTTGTTTCTGATAGAAGTGGCAACACTGTATCGTTGAAAATATATCAGACGGATAGAGAATGTTCAATTATCAAAGCATCCCAATTTTCAGAATGTTCTGTCATTTCGTTCTCCAGATATATGACACCATTTTCTATTCGTATATAGGTGGCCTGAATTTATGAAGGTTCTGAAGCCTTGCTAATTAAAGATGGATGTCTGACTATCAAGATATACCTCGCCGTTAATTAACTCATCAGAAGCTCTTTGTTCTCGTACAAAGACTCTATTATGCTCACAACTTTACAAGACCTTGAAGTTAGGCGTCAATATGGATAGACCACTTATAAGTTGGCTAAACATGTTCTCAGTGGAGCATTGTAGTGATGAAACTCCTGCCCAAAAAGTATTGTTTTATCGATTATTCATAACTTACGAGAGAATAACATATCGGGTGGCCCATTTATGACTATCCATCCTCAATATAACTCTCAACATAATGGGTGAGTGGACTTAGAATGATGGGCTTATATCACAAAAACTTTTTATTTCATAATTCGATAGAACTCACCCAAACTAGCTCCCCACCGAAAACCGTTTCTTGCTGTGAGCTCCCTACGTTTTATAAAAAATTATTGAAGTTCCCGATTTTTCGTACGTGTGAAAACGAGGCGATAATGTGACGTCAAAACCCTAATACTGAAACATACTGAAACAAGACTATTCCAGACAGAGATGAATGAAACATGATTTCTGAATTAGCGCGAGATCACAGTTGAAAGAATTAATATATCAGTTGCCTCAGTCTCCGTATGGCGATATGAGGTTTCTACGAAATAAGAGGGTCCGTTTTCAGAAGGTACTATTATTTATGTCCAAAAATAAAACATTCCAGTTAATTTTTCGATCGAATTATGTCGTCAATCATTATTTATGTATAAAAGGATCATTATAAACATGGTTTGAGTTAAAAGTTATACTAAGGTGTACACGCCCATTACTACACACTTTTTTATGTTGATAATGAGTGTATGCGTTGTTCGAAATTTTTGAATTTCGGAGCTCATTTCAAACGTACCGTCATATAACCACTATTTGGCGATACGTCGAACAAATAGTGACATCATCTTTCATGCTGTTTCGTTATTGGTTTTCTGCTTCGGGACAGGAGCTATTTCACTTTCAGTCAGCTGCTTACGATCTATAAGGCACAGATCCGACCTGTCTTGGAATACTGCTCTCATATTTGGAGTGCAGTACCAAAACATACCCTGAAACTGTTGGATTCTGTCCAAAAAAGGGCAATTCGTCTCGTGGGTGATGCCTCGCTCACAAACTCACTCACTTCTCTGGAACACCGTAGAAAAGTTGGCGATCTGGCTCTATTTTATAGATATTTTCATAGACGATGCTCTTCTGAAATGTCAACAATTGTTCCTCCCTTGACAGTCCCCGCGAGATTAACCCGTCGAGTTGAGGCTTCGCACCCCTTCGTGGTCACTTTGGAGAACTGCAGAACATCTCTTCCCAAAGACTCGTTCGTCCAACAAACAACGATGCTCTAGAACACATTACCAAGGGAGGTGTTCCCCGAGGCATATAACCTCCAGAAATTTAGGAAGAACACCAATTCCTACCTCATTTCCCTTGGTTCTCACGATGTTCTCTGAACATTACAGGATATCCCTTTTCGTGGGAACCAGAACATAAAAAAAATTGCCCCAAAATGTCGCACTGCGTTTGAAAATGTTCCTATTAAAGAGCCTGAAAGGAAAAGTCAATCGATACTGTTGTTCTGAGGATGTTGGTGAACAATAGTTATTTGTTTAACTAGGCAGCAAAATAGTAGATTGACTGCCGAGGCTGAATTCATAGCCGAGCGTAGGAATCCAGCTAAGGCAGTCAATCTACTTTGCTGCCGAGTTGAACATATAATTTTTTCTCCGATTGTTTATAATGATATAGGAGGATATTGTATTTGCAAATTATTACAATTCATTACAATTAATACAATAGAAATCACAGTTGTTGGAATGGTTGGTTGCTATGGAAATGTCCATAATAATTATACTTTGAAAATTCATGAAATTTCTGACAGTTGTGCGAAAAAATATCGGTATATTTAAATTATTATATAATGGACAGTAATAGCGACCTGGAAGTACTTACACCTCCAGAAATGAGGGAGGTGGCAAAAAATATAGAGTTGAATTTGTTGCCGGAGAAGTCTCGGATGAAATATGAAGGAAATTATAAATGATTCATGGATTATTAATTTTGCTGATACATATCAATCAGCAAAGTAACCAATTGCTGCCTAGGCAGCAAAGTACCCACTTTGCTGCCTAGGCAGGAAAAGTAATACTTTGCTGATTGATATGTGTCAGCAAAATTAATATTTGCTGCCAATCGGAGAAAAAAATATATACTCGTTATTATGCCCACCGTTCTAATAACTGTACACTCTGATTTTCTAGAATGTCTTCCGTGCCTGTTGCTGTGACTCCCCACAAAATCATCAACAGGAGAAGCCTGAATGACTCGTCTAATCTGGATGTCAGCGACTGCCTAGATCTGTCCATCAAGGAGTTCTTCGTGATCATGTTCTATCCAGACAGCGATCCGGGCAACGAGTACGAAATCCGGAGCGAAAAGGACCTAGTGGACACGTGGGATGTCCTTGAGAAAGGAGTGACTGTCATTGTCAAATTCGGGAACGCCAAGGTACAGGGGACCGTACTAGCTGTTTCAGGTAATAGCTATTTTATAGGTCAATGGGACAAATAAACAGCGTGTATCTGAATAACACCGAAAAAATTCAAGGGGTGATTCCTTATTGTGATATTTTAGGAAATAAAGCATGGAAAATCTTTTTTCTATTCATTTCTCAATTGCCCTCTCATCAATTTCAATAAAACGTGGTTTTGTTAATAGTATTGGAATGATATCTCCCTCAGAGGGGCTCTAGAAACATCATCAGTAAGACAGGAGTACAACGATCATCCTGTATAACGCATCTCAGATTGTTCTCCAACCTCCCAATGATTCTTACATACACCAGCATATTTCCGAACACTCAATATAATTATGCCGCAGTGACAAATAACGTGACAGAAGATTCTGGAATGTTCTGGAAACAATCGATGGAACAATTTTTGTTCTATGAATCTTCTACAACAAAAAGAATGAATCATGAGAAAAAATGCATTTTAACAAAGTTATTGAATAATTTGTCCCCCCGCCGATGTGTAAATACACGGACTATGCTCTCCGGCATACAACACAGAAGCTCATTATTCGAGGTGCGCTTCGTGCCGTTTTTCTCGAAACCGGGCAATTTTTCGAGAAAAATTATGGGGACCATTTTTGTAGAAAATTAACTGAACTTCAATTTTTATCTGAACCGAAAATCTCTAACTGCCATATTTTAGGAGATATTGGCTGAAAACCTATTTTTCTGGTCTTTTGGGGCCATTTTCTCCGCCATCGCACGCGTTTTCCAGTCAAACTTTGTCTCATGTTTAATGAGGTACCAAAAGCTACTTCCAACCGGAAGATGAAAATAGTGCGTAATTAATGTTAACTTTTCCCCTTTATTTATTGGACTAAAATCCAAATACTCAAAGTGGACTGAAATGACCCTCGAAGTAGAACGCCTCGTGAGTATTAAATGCTGGGAAGTGCTAACGTTGGGTCGGGTTCTCACCAGATGGCGGTCATGAATGCCATTTGATGGAGACACCCCTGCACTGATGCCAAAGCTGGAAACCGGATGTAGATGGTCAAGCGTTCCTGAGCAATTTAAGCACGACTCAGCATATAGGAAAGAATCACTCGCAGCTGTGTTGCATATATAGATTAGGAATTTCCTTTCGTGCGCTCCAAGAGATAAAAAATACGTTGGATACATGATGACGTCAGTTATTCTGCTGTTTTCTTATTGGTAATTAAGATAATCTTCCATTCCCACTCATGAAGCAAGATTGTCAAGTTACCAATCATAATCAAGCTATTGAAAAATTGTTTACAGTCGTGGCGTTGAATGAAACTACATCAAACATTTTTTTCCATCTGACCTAATAGGAGGAAGCCATGATCAAAAGATATTCATTTGAGAATTTTTCGAGCAACCAGCTTGTGAAAATATTTCTCAGACTCCATGAGTGAATTTCATGCAAATGTTGGTTGAAGACTTGGCGACATGAATGTGATGAATGCTGAGAACTGACAAGACAACGCCGACCAGCTATGCCGTGTTGTCACATTTACCGGTCCAAATGTCCTCTAGTGTGAATTAATATAATGATTATCTACACTTATGCAACAACACATACAAAGAAAAATTTTGAGACAATTTGAGGATTTTTTAATTATTGATAAGCAATGTTCCCAATATAGTATTTCAGCATATATGGCAACTGTGCTACTGTCTGCCCCTAATTGGGAAATCGTGATATCTCTGATATCAGTTGATATTTGCGTTACATTGATGATTTTAGGACCTTAAAATCGACCGAAAATTTTTAATGAGATATGGAATTGAAAGGTAGTTGTGATATGATAATGCTATTTATAATAAAAACAATTGCCTATTTTAACCTGTTCTTCTTAAATTGGACTTGTGATTGTCGTGAGAACCAGAAACATAAGCTAATTCTAATTGGAAGAATCAGTATTCAATGAAAATAAACCAAAATCTGATTCGAAATTTTTATTCCACATCAGAAGTACGCCTGAGACTGAGCCAATAAATCTTGAATGTAAATTGAGCTATATATGAATTTCCTATAAAATGATTCAATTAGAGCAAATTGCCTTCACTTTGAAGCGATGCAAGGGTAAAATTTGAGATGTGAAATGTCACTATCGGGAATCAAAACGCCTATGGATTGCAATATTTCTAGCTCTAGTTTCTTATGTTGAATATTTGTTCCAGATGATATTGAATATCTAGAATCGAATTTCCTGATGATTACAGAGGAACATCAAGATATGGTGATACGTGCGACGGTGAGTAATATACTATTATATTCGTCATTTTTACTACTCTTGTATACCGGGTGTTTCGCAAACATTGGCTCACCCCGAACCGTCATAACTTTTTTGTTTCTATAAATAAGCAAATGAAATTCGGTGTGCGAGTGTAGTTCAGGAATATGCATTATTTGACGTATTCAATTAATTTTTGCTACTTCCGGTTTGACCGGGAATGACCCATTTTGAATGGGATACTTTCACCTATTTCGATAGAGAATAACATTGCGAGTACAATGACAACCCATTTGTCACTTTTTGATATTTTTCATCAATGAATTTTCATTTTCAATTTTCAATCTAGAGTGATTATGATACTGGATATTGATTCAAAATATCGATTATGTGGTATCAACGTGTTCGTAACAAAATACCGTTTTCAGATAAAAATATAGTGATGAGCCATCCGTGTTCTACTTAAAAAAATTGAGTTAACATCATAAATACGATATTGTAAATTTTGAATGAACCTGTGAAACAAATAAAAAGTTGAACGTACTCGAAACTATTTTTTCTATATAGGCAACATGGCACTCTAGATTAAAAATTGAAAAATGAAAAAACAGGATGATATATGTCAAAAAGTGACAAATGGAGTTTCATTGTCACAATGTTATTCTCTATCGAAATAAGTAAAAATATCCGGGTGTCCCATTTAAAATATGAAAATATGGGCCATTTCCGGTCAAGCCGGAAGTGTCAGAAATAATTGAATACTGTATAATCAAAAAATGTCATCTTCAGCGGAAAATCAAAATTAAACAGTACCTATTTTCTCGATATCTACTTTAAAATATCAACTGAATCAATGTTCGCCATCTTCCATTTGACAAGCATATAACCTAATTCTGAATTCACAAACTATAGTTGGTATTTATATGAAATAGGTCCTCTGTCATTATAATACCTAACTTTATTAAGTAAGAACTAATCTTATAGGCTTTCATTTCCATTCAATTACCTGACATTGATTTAACGGTTCAATTCGTGTTTTCGGATACTATTATAATTGTGATGGCTACGATCTACCGTACTTTACATGTACCAGGTGTTCTTTGGACCTAGTTTTGACGAGTATTCTAGTTAGACCTATGTATATTCTTTAACAATCACCATTATTCTGATTGGACAAGTCGACTAACCTGAAAAGGCCCTTATTATTTTTTTTTCAGATAAGAGAACACATCAAAAATGAAACTATTTCCAATGATAAGCCTATTATCTGCTTTTTTGATAAAGGAACCCAAACAGAGCGGACAAAAGTAGCAAAAACCAACACATCAAACGAGGATTACCTGGAACTGAAGAAAAAATACGAGGAACTGAAATCTGACTTCGATAAATTTACATCGCTTTTCTCAGGTAATAGTCAAAAAACAATAATTCCAAAAATCATAATTAGTATTTTGTGAGTTGCTCTTCTGATTCACCTCATCGATTCCAATTTCAATGGAAAATCTCTTTTATCAGTGGGTATACTTACATATATACCGAAAAGTATAAAAATAATAATTGTGAATTTAATATTCAAAAGTATTTCAAGGTAATTGTTAAACACGTTCATAGTGTGATACTATCTGCTCTAGATACATCAATGTTAATTGTTTTAGATGTGAAGCTAAATTTAGAAGATACGATGGCGAAACTACAAGGATTCAACATTGGAAAAAATAACAACGGACATTTTTCGTATTCACCTGTATCGTCAAGTACCCATGAAAAAGTGCTGAAACCGATAGAAAATATCTCTGACAACGTCGATTGTTTCAACAAAATGGTAACTACAAGCAATTTTTTCACAGTGTTCCAAAGTTGATGAAATCAAGAACGTTTGAAGTACAAGATAGAGAGTCGTTTATGATCATTCAGATTCTAGTAGAATTGAACTTTTTCTAGTATAGATATTAAAAAGTGTTTTAAAAGTGTTGTTAACCGCCAGCTTAGTTGCAAAGCAACCCTCGAAAGTCAGAGACTTGATATTCCATGAATATTCATAGATTTTTGTCAAATTGAGTTTATTCATGAACCTGTCAGGGATATACGTATGTATCTTCCATGGAATATTCCCTAAATATGATGGTGAGGCAGAATGTATATAATTCAAAAAAATTCCAATACCTACCTCCTATCCCTATCCTTCCTAGGAACGCACGATGTTCTTTGAACATTATAGGGATTCCCTTTCGTGCGCTCCAAGCGATAGAAAAATATCACAAAAGGATTATTTCCTATATATTCTGAATGTACCTATAATATTCTAGGAATATTCAGGTAATATTCGGGATATTTCATGAAAAAAACAGGAATATGAATGAATAAATATTCCCTGAATATCCCAGTAGATATATTCATAAATGAAAAAGCTGACCCAGAATGGCCTCGAACTGGTGACTTTCAGAATGTCAGAGCTACGCATTAACCACTAGGCCAGTAATCGTATGAAAACAATTTATTGGCGAGAATTTTTCAGAATCAGATCATAAACACGTCTTGTTCCAAAATCCCGTTACATATAATCATATACAGGGTGTCAATTTGAAAACTTCCCACCCTCAATATCTCCCTCCAAGTCAATAATATGGAAAAACGAAAAGACAGGTCGATTTTATTTTCGAGGGGGACATGGTTCTAAAATATTTTCAGCCCCGCGGCGTTGCCGCTTCTAACGAAAAGAAGCAACAACTTTGTTATTTCGAATGGAACACCCTGTATTTTATTGCATTTTTAGATTCTCACTGAGAAGCTGATTTCATCAATGTATCACACTTGGGGTCTAGCAGAAATGATTACAGAGATATAGGGTGTTCAAAATCGAGATTTTACAACTTTAGGATTTTTTTGAGTCGAAACTATTCATTATTGGTCAAAACGGCTTTTATGTCCCTATCTCAACTTTTGATTTACTATCTACTAACATTTATTTGAAACAAATACAGGGTGATCAAAAGTCTGAATCTTGAACCACCCTGTATTTGTTTCAAATAAATGTCAGTAGATAGTAAATCAAAAGTTGAGATAGGGACATAAGAACCGTTTTGACCAATAATGAATAGTTTCGACTCAAAAAAATCCTAAAGTTGTAAAATCTCGATTTTGAACTCCCTATATCTCTGTAATCATTCCTGCTAGGCCCCAAGTGTGATACATTGATGAAATCAGATTTTCAGTGAGAATCTAAAAATGCAATAAAATACAGGGTGTTCCATTTGAAATAACAAAGTTGTTGCTTCTTTTCGTTAGAAGCGGCAATGCCGCGGGTCTGAAAATATTTTAGAACCATGTCCCCCTCGAAAATAAAATCGACCTGTCTTTTCGTTTTTCCATATTATCGACTTGGAGGGAGATATTGAGGGTGGGAAGTTTTCAAATTGACACCCTGTATAATGAAGCTGAGCTTATTATGGACTCGAAACGTACGAACTGAATAATTTGATCACTATGAAAATTGGGGATATGACTTTGTGCTTCTGATCGCTGGTAAAAAACCACACTCAAATTTTGAGATATGATGGACTTCTACCACAGATTGTTATGATGAATGTTTAATACTCACATCTATAAAATAGTGATTAGTGCTTATACATACACATGGATATACAAAATGTACAGTTGTAAATATTCCTGGATTATTCATTTCTGAATATTCCTTGAACAATCGACTGAGATATTTTGGGAATACGCACCTTTGAATATTCCTTCTGCAATATTCCTTGTATATTATTTTGTGATATTACTGGAATATTCACATTGGAATATTTCTTGGATGTTCTAGAGGCACATATATATATATATATTCTAGGAATATTCGTAGGATATACGGAAAATTTTATTCTCTTTCAGCATATTTAGAGAATATTCTAGGAATATACAGTGCTGTCTGGGATTAACTTCTCAGTTGGCACCACATCCGATAATATTGAGAAAAAAAAAGGATGGTGGGTGCAGTGAATTTGTCCATCTTAACAATTATCACCAAATAATTAATAGTTAGAACCTCATTTTTGTTGCTATTTTGGATGACATGCATTCATTCATGGCTATAGAGGAATATTTTCGTGAATAAATTGAATATATTGAAAAATCGTAAATACTCTGAATAAGAATTTTTCAACCAGGACACTGCAAAAGGAGATGAGGCAGTATATCCACAATCTATTAGACTAACTGAGCTCATTTTCTGCAGTTTTTCATTCCGTATCGTAATTAGGAAACACCGCGTATTTTACTCACCCATTTTTCAATTCTACAGAGTATTATCAAATGATTCTGACAAAAATTCGAAATTGATTGACCATATGTCCATACTAATCTTATTCCATTCAACTTGTGATACTGAAAACAACATTCAATGAAGCATGTTTTTTAGCTTCCACGATTTCAGCTCCGTGATTATTTTTCAGATTCAAATCGGCTCTTCAGGAACCAAAATAGCCAAAAGTACATATGATTCCATAAACTGGAACAGTTACACAGCAGCCACTCGCAAACTTTTGATCACCCTGTTCCCTAGGAAGGTACTAGCGACTCATTCCCTCACTGGAAAACCAAGCCCAGCTTTCCTCACGAGTGACAAACAAAAGAAAATGAGGTGAGTTCGTGGAATTTACGGTAGGAAAAAAACTAACTTCCGTGGGAGGTAATATACAGGGTGTTTCCCCACTAAGCAAAGTAATATCTCAACAATATTGCAGCGATATTTCAAAGTTATGTGTAATGTTACATCAGATATTGTCGCTATCTTACTGCAAGGTCGCAGCAACTACTGAAACGAACGTTCAGCAATATTATGAATGTAATGTTCGCAAATGAATCATTCCAGCAGAGTTATTGTAACATTGTGTATGAAGTAAAGTAACATTTCATACTCAATGAACGAATGTAATCATATTGTTATATTTTGTTAAGGTTACTGGCAACATAAAATAAAAAGTAAAGGAAAATTACATATTTCATATTATAAATTATACATAGTAACAATATTCTAATAATCGAATAATCGTGTCGACTATTTCATAATTTAAAAGTAGATCGAAAAAATTTCTAAATATTTTTGATATAACGGTACTAGGTCTCATAGGCACTGCACTGCATAAGAACCTGGAACAAAGGAAATAATGATAAAATAAAATAGTCAGGAATCTACCTGTTAGTTGAGTTAGTTCATCTACCGGTTAAACTTGAGAGTTGAGGATTGTATACTTGATTCTGGAAATATTCATTCTCCAAGGTATGCTGAGAGTATCCTTATAATATACACTGAAGATAATATGAATATTTCTCAGCATCTAGAGAATATTCTGAAGAACGATATTTGAGGTTGTTTCAGAATGAATTGTGAGTGCGAGCTCAAAGTTTTTTCTACAACAACTAAGTGCAGTGAAATGAGAGATAAGATTTGATGAATCGAGCAATGATTCTACTATCACTATGAGGTTAAACAAAACCTCAATGTCCCTAAGTGTTTCAGTAATAAGAAGGATTGATTTCATATAATTTGTAATGTTTTATAGAGTTCCTGATAAAGAGCCGATAAAGACCCGAAAGCTCAAACAGAAACAATAAGAAAGTAGGTTCACTTTGATTCACTTTGACTGCATTCACTGACTGAATTCACGAGGTTGTCCTATAACTTTGAGTAGGTATACGAATAATTATAATCATTCTATGTTATTTTTGTCGATTGAACGATCCGCTTAGATCAATGAACGATGTATGAATTTGTAAAATGTATACCTAACCTAGAATAACTGATGTTGACTTACCTAACCATCAACTGCTAACTGCGATTCAAAACCTTCCCAACTGCCAGATCACCACTTATACCTCAATTTATCTTCCAAAGTATATTATTTATTGGTATCATTTGCCATTTGGACGTGTACAACAACAAAATATCTGTTACCGAAGCCAAACACGAACAAATATGGCGACTAAGATAGTGGCGTTTGTCGAATGCAAGTTTGCGACTGCGCGTAGGCATTTGATGAAATGGCGTCTCTCGATCGATACCCAATGTAGCATTTTGTATATTTCAGCTATATTACATTCTTAATTCAAATATGTGTTGCATCCCATAAGTTGTAGCAATATTGTTTGTAGTTACCTCATGTTATTTACAAACTCAATGAAGTATCAATGTTGATGCAACATTACAATTGAAAATTCCATATGTAACGTTGCACTGATATTGTTCGTAGTTGATCCATGTAATGTTGCAATTTCAATGAGAATATATAGTTGATGCAATATTGCTATTGAAACTTTTAATTGAAAGGGTCATTTTGTAACTTACAAACAATTTGTCAGTAAGTTTTTCTGTTATATCGTCAACACGAATATAGCAGCAAAATAGATACAATATTGTATTTTCATATTACGGAAGAAAGCTTCACAATATATTGTGGCAATATTTTGTAACATTACATGTTTAGTGGGTCAGTTTTTTGTGGCAGGACTTTGACACCTTGAAGAAGAAATTTTTTCAAGATGAAAATCTCATACAAACATATATGCGTGGGAGCTTCGTTTCCCATTCACAGGGTGTCAAAGTTTCAGATTTTTTTAATGTTTTTTGAATTTTCTCCTACAATTTTCGGAATAATTAATTGAAATTTGGTACACCTGATACACTTCAAAAACTCAATATTTGAGGCTATTGAGCGTTTTCGAATACCTACAGGGTGATAGACGTTCAGGGGTCGTACCCAATTTAACCCTGTAGAACTTTTTTGCGTGCCGCCTCTGCTTTCAATGGGACATAGATTCAGATTTTGTCCCTTCAATTTGGAAACTTTTTGCATCCATGTAATTTTTTCGAAAACCGTTATTTCTCAAACACTTATTTGACATTTCTTAAACATTTTATTGGAAAATGGAATAACCGAAAGCGTCCATACCAAATGAAATTCAGTTGCAAAATTAAATTGAATTTTTTGAACACCATTATAACTAAAACTAGAAAAAAACTGTTTTTCGACGTGTTGCGTGCACTATTTTTTCGGCAACCATGAAGAATAACAAATCAATGAGATACATTTCCATATTATATTTCTTTGTAGAATACAATTTCTTCTTTATACAGGGTGATTCAGGTTTTAAGGCACAAACTGAAATGGGAAATAGATCTCATCATTTTAATCAAGAAAGTTTATATAAACATTAGTCCGATCTCGTTCAGTAGCGGAGCTACAGGGGGTCAAAGTTCAATTATTTTTATCTATTAATTGAAATATCTCGCTTACTTTTCAAGATATCATTTCGAAATTTGGTATGGTCAATACTTCCTAGAAGATCATCATTTCAAGCATTTTGAAGATTTCCACAATCTACAGGGTGATACGTTTTTGGAGGTAGAGGCTTCTTTATCCCCTCCAAACTTTTTCGTAGTACGCCTCTGGCATCTTTCAGTGATCAAATTGTGTAGATCGTTCAATTTAGATGCTTTTTTTGCTCTTCAATTTTTTTCGAGAAACGAACCGTTTTTGAGATAAATAAGCATATACGTTCTAAAACATGTTAATTTTGCCTATGTTTCGCTTAAATATTTTATTCTTTGACAAAATTCGTTGAAAATGCAATGAAATGTACTCACTAAAATTGAAATCACGAGTCCAATCTGGATCAGTAACGGGGATACGAAGGGTAGAAAGTCAAGTTGTTATACCTGATAAGATTACAACCAGAAGAGAAAACACAAGGAATCTGCTTGCATTCTTCTGAACGGAGACAATAACATGGTATTCACTACTGAAATCTGAAAATGAAAATGATAAATTTTTAGATTGTCACTGAGAACTGAGAAGTGTCAAGAAATATACGAAGTTGCCTACAAAAATCAATTTTTTATGTTGAAAACGGGAGCAGATTCATTCTCGAAACGTCCAAAGAAAAGTAAAAAAGCTGACAAGCTAGTGAATTTCTCTAAATTCTTCAAACGCAGTGACATCTTGGGGCAAATCATCTGATTTGTCCACACGTATATTGAAATAATATTCATATTTTCATTTCATAGAAACGAGAAGGGAAAATCCCAAATCTGAAATCTGGAATATTCGTTTATACTTTTTTCACTGTTGAGCGGTTTATTTTGTTAGTACAGCAATGTTTGATTTTTATGTTACAGGCTTGATGCTACGATAATCTCGGACATCGTGGAATTGATAAGCAAAAACTGCAAAGTGTCAGAATCTTTGGTGAGGAATGTAATCACGACGAAATGTGCTGACGAAAATAAAATGTACAGGAAACGGATGCAGAAAAGACGGCAAAGTGATGCCGAAAACGACATTGATGAGAATGAAAAAACGAACATTTAAAAATGGTTCTCAAATTTAGTTATTGATATTTTTACTCATCGTTTACGACATATTTTTCTGCAATTATCATATTACAAAGTTGAAACATTGAGCCGTAACCATTTTTAGATTCTTCCTGGAGAGCTGATTTCATCAATATATAGGGTGTTCAAAATCGAGATTTTTCAATTCATGTTTTTTTGTGTGGAAACTATTGATTATCGCTCAAAACGGCGTTCATCTGATCAGAATTCTGAATCTTGAACTAGGTATACCCTGTATCTGTTCCAATTAAATGTCATTAGATAGTAAATAAATAAATAAAGTTGACATTTCCGCTAGAACCCAAGAGTGATACATTTATGAAATCAGATCTTCAGGGAAAATCTAAAGATGCATTGAAATACAGGGTGTTCTGTTCGAAAATCGAAATTTGATGTGCGTTACGCTTCAAGGATTCAACTTTGGGATATGATAATTACAGAAAAAGGTGTCCCTCACCAAATTGAAATCAAGCTGTACGAGCGATTTCATTTTTTTTTCCAACGACCTCGAAGACTATAAGGGGGGGGGACAAGTTTTAGTTGGGACACACTGTATATACGATTCTATTGAAGTTGTTGTATTACAAGCTATGTATATGAATTTCATTAAATGGAATATGAAATTATGCTTTCTTTTGTTCAAAATTCAACTCTTCATAAGTTTCTTATGTCCTGAAACTTCAATAGGATCTCAATCTTAATTTTATTAATCGTACTTAAGTTAGGTTTCAACTTGATATTGTAATATTAAAACAATATGTGATAATAACAATCTTGCCAGAACTATTTCTTTCAGTACCTAACCTATTTTTTTGGTAATTTGGTAATAAATATCTTTGATTCTCAAAAACCTCAGTGTTTCTTATATATCCTAATATATATATGCACGCAAGATTCGAACAATTTGGAATGAATAGTGACTGCGCTGAACCATCAGAACTCACAATACACGAACGGAAAAAATCCTATCCTTTTTATCAATTTAACCCGTATTTCTGAAGTCAAAGGAAATGATATCGACAAGAAAATCACCAGATATTTGGAAACGAATAAGAATAATGAAAGTTTGATAGCAGAGATCAAGAGGTGACCCTTTGCAAATAAAGTAACATAAACATAAATATTCCAAATCCGACCGTAATACTTAGAAATACGGAAAATCAAAAACATTCGACTTCTCCCATACATACATATACAGGGTGGGCCACCAGTAACGCCTCGGTCTCTAGAAGGCTAACCACTTATCTTCTTGGAATTCTTCCTCTCTAGGAAGTTGCATGTCAACATAGGCTACCATTTAAAATTATTTCGATACATACAGGGTGTCCCCAAAAACCATAAAACACTTAAACTTTTTTCTATCGAACACCCTATATATTATTTCATTTTGACATTCTCCCTGATGAGCTGATTTCAACGACCCATCATACTTGGGGTCTAGCAGTTATAATTGCTGAAATATAGGGTGTGAAAAATCGAGATTTTCCAAGTTCAAGAATTTTTTGTGTCGAAACTATTCATAATTGGTCAAAACGGCTTACATGTCCCTATCTCAACTTTTGATTAACTATCTAATGATATTTAATTGGGACATATACCGGGTGATCAAGATTCTGAATTCTGCACCACCCTGTATTTGTTTCAATTGAATGTCAGTAGATAGTTGATCAAAAGTTGAGATAGGGACATGTGAGCCGTTTTGACCAATTATGAATGGTTTAGACACAAAAAATTCTTGAACTTGGAAAATCAGGATTTCTCACACCCTATATCTCTCATTAATTATAACTGCTAGACCCCAAGTATGATGGATCGTTGAAATCAGCTCACCAGGGAGAATCTCAAAATGAAATAATATATAGGGTGTTCGATAGAAAAAAGTTTAACTTCAGTGTTTTATTGTTTTTGGGGACACCCTGTATGTTTCGAAATAATTTTAAATGGTAGCCTATGTTGACATGCAACTTCCTAGAGAGGAAGAATTCCAAGAAGATAAGTGGTTAGCCTTCTAGAGACCGAGGCGTTACTGGTGGCCCACCCTGTATATATAACTAGGAAAAGGTTATTGGGCATAGCCCTAAGGAAGAGTTGACTCGTGTTTCGTGCTTTTGGTGGAAGACGAAACAACAAATCGACGGAGTCAACAAACAGAAGCTAGCCGCACAAATGGTGGTGTTGGCCAGAAGACCCTGTATTTTCAGGGCTACAATGACTAACGTAACATATAGCTATAGCTATATCTTCGTGACACCCAAGTCCAGGAGTAAAATCAAGATGAAAGAATATTGAGAGAACTGTTTAAAGCAAACTAGGAAATTTAACAGTCCACTGTCTCTTTCTCGCCCAGTACTTATATATTGCAACCAACGTTATTTTGTGAGGAATTTGGCAATAGTATAATAATATCACATCAATGTTTCGTACGACTAGCTTAATGTTGTGATTGCAACTTCCCAGGAACATTAAAAATGATTATGTTGACCAGGACGCGGTAAATAACATCCTGTATACATGCGAAACAAGCATTACTCATTATTTCACAGCGCCAGTAGGTCTATCTATTCTAATTCCCCATGAATTTAATCCAACTCTCTATCAAGGACATTGTTATGCAGTGTTGCCAGCTTTCCAACGCATAAAGGAGAATTTGACAAAATGCGAAAGTCCGTTCGAAATATATCAATGCAATAACGTTCTATTACCTGGTGACTAACCATCAAGATACTATTGTTATATAATTCTCATTTTGGGTATACCATACAGGGGGTTACACTAAAGTACTCGAACTGAGTAGTAATCGAAATTGATCCGCAATTGCTAATTATTTTTCAGGGGTTTAAAGCTAACTATAACCCATAAACTATATAGACGACCGACACTAAGTCAATAGAACATAGAACACAATACACAATAGATGTTTCTGATTGAGTAATTTGATCACTATTAAAATTTACCACTTTGTGTTTCTGATCCCTGGTAGATAACTCCTCATTTTGAGATACGATGGACTTCTACCACAGTATAATATTCGAGAGTTTTGTACCATCATAACAACTTTATTTTGCTGAAAACTGTGTTTTTTTTCTCAGTTAGATCGCGTTGACCCATACTCTGCTGCTTCGTTAGTATTTTTTCTAGGTTGTTGGCGAAGACGTTCAGCTGCGTTTAGACTAGTGCTAGTCAGTAGGCTGCTCTGGGTACCTATCTATCAATAAGGATTTTCAACATTGCAATTTCGAGCTTTGCGTAAGAAAAAGTGGTATTGGCAACGTTGGCACGCTCTTTGATAAGTAGTGTATAAACACCGACTGCCCGTTACTTTAAAACACGTGTTTGTTTCTGGATCGAAAACAATATTGTTTGCAATTTTTAGTATCCCGAAAAATACCAGAATCATGTTCTACAGGGTGTAACAATTTGATGTGAATCTCGTACTAATACTCATTAATATACCGTTGATAAAGTTGCATTTCTTCCATGGTTTGGAATATTGTTGAGAAGAAGAAACAAATTACAAATCTTCGCCATGGCCAACTTTTTTTTTCACAAAAACTTCACTCTGATGTGAGAACTGTATTCTGAATTCCTAAAACAGGTCGTTTCTGAGCTTTCGTTGATCATGAGAAGCTGTAGAGGTGTAAAATAGTTTTTTCTCCAAATGACATTTGAAGTGGATTTTTATGAACACTCCACAGGCAGTAAAGGTGTACTTTTACTGCCTAGGCAGAAAAAGTTTGTTGCTATGCAACGTTTCAAGTAATTTGATTCAAATTGGTAATGGATGACTTTGGGTGAACAAAAAATGATGGGTTACATTGCGTGAAATTGAAAAGAATTTGGAGACAAAATTATATGTTTCACATGGCAGAAAAGAAGATGTAATGCCTTGGCTCGTTTCGTAGCCTCGGCTACGCCTAGGCTATAACTCGCGAGCCGCAGCATTAAATCTTGTACTTTTCTGCCTAGTAAAACAAATAACTATTACATGAAATAACAATCCGAGTTTTTGCGAAGCAACTTTTGGCGATAGACCTGATATTATTTTGCTGTTCGAAATACCTAGCATAGATAATGGACATAAAGTAACGTGGGTGAATATTTTTTGTCATATTGAGGAGCTATAGCAACATCAAGATGAAATAAATCATATTATCTAGTTTGATGATCATAAATTTCATAGTTTCTTGTTGAAATAAAATCTTCGATTCATAATTTTGCACGAAATTTTCATACTTTCTGAACATTTCTTCTAATGAGAATGTTTCAATAATATTATATCTGTTGTTGGTTTGGTATATCATATGCTAAGTAATGTAGTACTTCAAATAACTTTTATTAATATAATGTAGATAAGAATTAACTTTTGTTTCCTCGATATATCAGGCATACTGAATTCCGCCTTTCTAGAGAAAACACATGCTTGACTTTTGGTGGCTTTGAATTCTACTAGGTTGTTGATACCCCAGGCTGTAACTTAAGCAACAGCTCCATCAACAGCGCTGACCTGTCTTTAATTAGTTTCCTCAGAAGAAATGGGAAATCTGGAAGAGAACGCAGTATGGAGAGTCTATCATCTGCAAATCTGATGTGGATATGGCAAGTGATTAGTCCCAACAGATCATCGATATAGAGTAGTAACAATATTGGTGGCAAAATGGAGCCTTATTAATATGGAACACCGGAATAATAGATTCAGTATCAGGCAATACGCCGTCCACTATGGAGCGATCAGCTTGAAAGAAAACTCGATAAAAGTAGACATAGCTGAGATGGAAAGCCGTATGATGTTAATTTGTGGAGGAGTCCTTGGTGCCAAACACGGTCGAATGTTGTCAATATATCCAACGTCACAGCTTGAGATACCCTATGTTTTTCTAATAAAGCTTGTCATTCACTTAGGTCACTCCCCCACTATCTTCTGAGCTGAAATACATGCCATCAACCTATGCGCCCAAAGGTGCCTGAGCAAAAGTCTGAGAGGTGCCAACATATACAAGGTGTTTCTAAAATAGGTGGTCAAACTTTGGGAGTATATAGAGTGAGTGAAATAATTACGAAAACCTCGGTAATATTTTTTTCTGAAGTGCCCCCCAAGAAAGATACAGCCCCTCAAAGGGGGGCCTCGGACAATGATTTTGTACTATTATCGCCAACACCTTGTATGATGAAAATCTAAAATTTTGTTTATCCA